CTAAAATGGTATCATTTGGCGTTGTGTGAACAGATGGATCTGAAAACATGGTATTTGGTATGAGAATCAAAATTTTAAGGTTACTTCGGCATATGAAGGTGGTTCTGTGTAAATGTGTACTAAGTGTATCAATTGTAGTAAATGGTACAAAATTTGGAACAGTTTGTTTGAGGGTGGACGGATAAAGGTGGAATTTTGAAAATTTGCATGGAGTCCCTGTTGGTGTTATGTTTGTGATAAAGAGCTGGTTTTAAAATGTATGCTACAAGTGCGCGAAAAGTACTAAATAGTACTATATTTGGTACAATTCGGTTTGCTTGAAATCTGAAAATTTTATATAAGGGTCGATGTTAATGTGTATCATGGACATATGGAGGTGGTTTATCGAAAATGTCTACTATAATTGTACAAAAGTACTAAAAAGTACTAAACTTGGTATTGGGCGAAGGAATAGGGCTGGAATCCCAAAGGTTGATATTGAAGACTTTATTGGTATCTGGTGTTGAGATCTGATGATTATTTTGCAAATGCGTAGTAAAGTATGAATGTTTAGTACGATGTTTGAAGTTTTTAATTATTTTTTTTTTGACTGAACTAATTGTTCATTTTGAGTACTAACAAGTAAAAAAGTTCGGCCGGCCCGAACTTTTAATACCCTCCACCACTTGGTACAAATTTGGCAATTTCCACAAAAAAAAAATAAATAAATAAATAAAATCAGTTAAAAATTCTGTTAAAATCTTAAAAATACCGAATGCTTATACGACGACGTGGACCTGCATAGGCAACTTTTGTCATAAGTTATTACAATATTTAAATGGGAAACTTTAAGAAAAATCTGTTTATATGCACAGACAATTTTCTGGCATGGGCTGAAGTATCCATTACGAACTTCACATGCGAAATTTGAAACAATTCCGATGAATAATGTCGCTAAAATCATCAAAATACCGAATATTGGGAGGTACCGTTATATGGGGGCTATATGATAAGTTGGACCTACATGGCCCATTTTCTGTTTTATGCTGCAGTATCTATTGCGAACTTCAAATACCAAATTTGGAACAATTCCGGGGAATAATGTCGCTAAAATCATCAAAATACCGAATTTCGGGGAGTACCGTTATATGGGGACTATATGAAGACGTGGACCTACATGGCTCATTTTTTGACTTAGGATGTAGTATCCATTACAAACTTCAAATACCAAATTTGAAACGATTCCGGTGAATAATGTCGCTAAAATCATCAAAATACCGAATATCGAGAGGTACCGTTATATGGGGGCTATATGAAAACTTGGACCTACATGACCCATTTACGAACTTAACCTGCCTACTGGCAAAATATACATGTGTGCAAAATTGTAGCCTTCTAACTCAATTTGTTCGAAAGATAGCGTGATTACAACAGACAGACAGACGGACATGGCTAAATCGTCTTAGAATTTTACGCTGTTCAAGAATATATATACTTTGTTGGGTCTGACGTGAGTATTTCGAGGAGTTACAAACGGAATGACAAAATTAATATACCCTCCATAGTATGGTGGAGGGTATAAAAAGGCCTAACTGTTGGGCAGAATCTAAAATTTTAAGGTGGACTTTTCGAAGTAGCGGGAACTTGCTGGTAATATATAAATGTTAATCTGCAGAAATGTTTTAGATAGAAAAGACCTCCTATGGATACAAATATAAATATTCTCTTAACAGAGAACTATCTAAAGGTAATTTATAGTTAGAATACATTCCATAGACCTTCTTTTAAAAACCCTCTCTTAACAGATCCCCACTTAATATTTGCATTCTTTCTAACTTATTGTTTGTTTATGGTTTTTTTTTTCTTGTCAAGAATGAATTTATTACAACATCTTCTTGTTTCTTGTTCGTATGTTTCTCTCAGGCGATTGCTTCATATCTTGAGAATTACAAGACAATAAAATAAATTTATTTTTATTCTTTTTTCTCTTCTTTCCAGCAAATTGACGGCTATGAAGCTGGTGTTGATTATCCAACATATGATTCGGTGCCCAAAGGCTTGTCATTCAAGTGTCAAGGCCGTGCACCCGGATACTATGCCGATACAGAAACTAGATGTCAGGTAAGTTTTAAATCGAAGTATGATATGTGAAATACAGGGTGCGATGAAAAAACTGCAACCAAATTCATACTGCTATCATTTCTAAGCCACTCGTCCGACAACTTTTAAAATTATTCCAGTGACAGCTCATTATATTGTTTACAAGCGTACAAAAGATTTTTGGTGATAGTTTTCCAGAAAAAAATTTATTCGTGATGGAATTCACGTGTGATAGTGTAATTGTTTTATATTTGACTGGAAAACCAGAAATGGCTATCGTTAGAGCACTCCAGCATTTAAATGTGAATATATCTTTTGTGTCTCATACCATCGCTCGTTACCGTGATACTGGTAGCGTAGCCCGACGTTAAGGAAGTGGACGGAAACAAACAGCAACATCAACAGAAATGGTTCGAAAAGTAAAGAAGCGACTTTATCGAATGCCGCATCGCCGTGGCTGAAAAATGGCTCGAGAGCTGAACATATCGGCAAATATTAAAAAATGAACTCGGGGTAAAGTCATTGAAATTTCAAAAAGTGCATGAACTTACACCGCAACAGAAAGAAAATAGACTCAAAAGATCTAAAGAGTTGCTTCGCTTGGCGGAAAATGGTGAAATGCCGAATTTGGTTTTATCCGATGAGAAAACATTGTCCAGCAGTTTGTAAACAAACAAAATAATCGTATTTACTTGCCAAAGAGGTCAGCTGAAAATGTGCGCCTTCGGTTGGCCACCAGAACTCAAGCGCCGAACATGGTGATGGTGAGGGCGCAATCAGCCCTCAGCCGATGGTTGCTCTCGCTCGTATTAATCGACCGTAGCATCAGAATAAATGCCGAATATTATCGCGAAAATATTCTGGAGGGTATATTAAAGCCTTGGGCATGCCAACATTTCGGCCTCAGGCCTTGAACACTCCAACAGAACTCAGCACCATCGCACTCAGCACGCGCCGCCCAAGAATAGTTACAAAATGAGGTTCCTCGCTTCATTTCCAGCGCACAATGGCCAACAAAATCTTCGGATACCAATCGGTTGGACTATTGTGTCTGGAGTATTTTGGAAACAAGCAAGGTTGGCACTAAAAAAATACCAAAGTGTCGATCACCTCAAGCAAACGCTTCGCCGAGAATGGGCCAAAATACAGCAGAGCAACATTCGGGCAGCGTTTGACCGTTTGAAAGCCATAATTCGTGCCAAAGGTGATCATTTCGAACAAATATAAACTTATTCTAAAATTTGATATTATTTCCGACAGTTTTTGCTTTCATTGCATACCCCCCTATAACGATACCTGCCGATATTCGTTCTTTTGATAATTTTTGCCATATTTTTCACGGATTTGTCCAAATATTGGTGTTTGTTGTTCGTAATGGGTTCTAGCTCCTGTATAGGTTCACGTTTTCATATGACTCCCAGTGGCAAAATATTAAACATTTAGGCCCACGTTTTCCTATAGCGCACATATTGCGATACCCACCGATATTCGGTATTTTGATAATCCAAGTCACATTTACCAACGAAATTGTTTAAAATGTGATATTTAAGAAGATTTGTTAGATGACAATCCATAAAGTCTAAAATTGTCGATAGAGATTCCCATTTTGGTATGGCCTCCATACAACTGCCTCACCGACTTTATGGTTTTTTGAAAAGTTTAACAGCATTGTCCAAACGGTCTAACCGGTATTTGTAGTTTGAAGTAGAAAACGTTTGACTTCAGATACATTTATATAGAAATGATTTCTTTACCCAAAGGTGGAGGCTATTAAAAGCCCAGCCCGGCCGAACTTATTATTTTTTTTTTACTTTGGAAAAACTCTAGTTTAGTAAAAACTCTTCGATTTTTTCGAAAGATGTAGGTATTTTTTTCCAGATGTAGGTATTTTTACCCTGATTACAGGAATCTATTTTTTTTTCTTGGGGGACGGACCCGGGACCCGAGATTTTTGACCCGAAAGTCCGGGCCTGGGATCCACTTACCCGATTACCAGGATTCTAACTGGTTGAAATCGGGTTATGCGGATGAAAAGACCCATATCTCTGGACTCAGTAAAGGTATTAGCACAAATTGTAGCATTTTGGGGCCTTTTTTGACTTTTTGGGGATTCTAAAAAAATCCGGGTCCAAAAATTCGATAATTTGACTATAACTTCCGAACCGTGACCACTTACCCCATCATGTGACCACCTGTTGGATAGGTATTTTCATAAACGATACCTATATTATATATATCGGGTAATTGGATCCGGGTCTAGTCGGGGTCTTGAACCCGGACTTTGGGGTCAAAAATCTGTGGTCCCGGGTCCGTCCCCCCAAGGAAAAAATAGTTTCCCGGGTTCAGGGTAAAAATACCTACCACTTACTTTTTATTACCTAAAATCCTAAATTCAAATTTTGAAAATGTAACAAAAATATGGCGAGGTCTAATTATATTTTCGATTAGAATATTTTCCTAAATTTTTTCATAAAAAAGTCATAAAATTAGAAATTGTATTTCACAAATTACCCTTGCATTGAAAATATCTAACTCAATTTATTATTGCCATTAATTTTGGCTAATTTTTATTTCGTTTTTGTTTTATTATCGTTTTTTTTCAGATTTGGCATTGGTGTCTTCATTCCGGCCATCAATATTCCTTTGTCTGTCCAAATGGCACAGTTTTCAATCAGGCTGTTCGTGTTTGTGATTGGTGGTCCAATGTCAATTGTCCGGCCTCGGAACAATTGTACGAAAACAACGATGAACTCTATCGAACCGTGGAGCCCAACAGCAATGGGGGCGATGGCAACACCATTTGATATAAGGCCCAAGAGCCAGAGAGGAGTAGTAGCAGCCGTGGAGACAACAATAATGGAAATGAGGGAAATTTTAGGGGAAGACAAGAGTTAAGAACGCGTGGAAATAGCAATGAAAGAATGTTTAATAAAAATGGAGGAGAAGAACCAAAACAACAGAGATTACAATTAGAATTAGCACCACCACCCCCACCACGAACAACAAGTAGGCAGCAGCAGCAGAGGCAAAGAATAGCACCATTAAGAGCAACAATAGCACCCAGCAGATCGTATCCTTTTAGCCCACCAGAAGATATATCGCCCATATCACCAGCCCTACAAAATGCAGTTACAAGCACCACAACTCGTAATAATACCAAAAATAGTTTTAGAGGCCACATGAAATACTCACAAACAATCCAAAGTAGTCCTAATGCAATAGCATCCCATGGCGGTAGTAGTAGCAGCAGTAGTGGTAGTTCGAGCGGTAGCAGTAGTATTAGTACAAATAGTAATAATAGAAATGAGCTTTTCAATCATCAACATCATGGAAAGATAAAATTCAATCATGATAAACAACAACAACAACAGCAGCAGCAGCAGCGTCAACAATTTCACACAAATGAACAACGAAAACGTATTAACAACAACAACAACAACAGTAGCAGCAACAAGAACAACAAAGAGTCTGATCATCATTCCCGGCCCATGCAAAGGCAACGTCAGCATTCAAAGTCGCAACATCAGTCATCGCAAATCGGTAATTTCAGTTCGGGCAAGAAATCCTCAAATGCCAACACCATCAACAACAACGAAGAGCTGAAAGACTACAAGAGCAAAATCAAAAACAAATACAACATCGATTATGATCATTCACTGGATGAGGAATACGAAATAATTGAGGCCGTCGAATGAATGGAAGAAGGGCACGAAAAGGCTGCACTGATGACGACGACGACAATGATGGCGGTGATGGACAATGGCTGCTTGACCACCATCAACCAAACCGATAACGACAACGACACCAAGACAATGTCGTTGGCATGAAATGATGTTGCTCAAACGATCTCCAAAAATGGACGTTGCACCATCCCTTGAATGGGCACTGAGTACTTGGGGAGTGCAAAATTTGACAGCTTAAATAGTTTGGCATTATGTACGATGTGATCAAAAATAACAGGGAAAATCACACACATTTTCCATTCATCAAAATCTATTTGGCATATGTGTTGCACTGTGTGTGTCTGCGTTGTGAAAATTGTGAAATACGATTGAATTGTTCTTTAAATTGAAAAAAAAAATACTCGCTACAATTAAGTTAAAAATAAGTACGACAATACTGCATTTTATTTTATTTTTTTTTCTCTCTCTACTGGTTGGCTTTTTCAAAAACTCTATTCTCCGTTTGACCACAAAATTTCTATTATTTCCATATTGTAGAAAATTGTTTTTTATTATTGTTTAATTAGTTTTAGGGATAATATTTTGTATTTTTATTTTTTTATATGAATTTTTGTATTTTTTTTGTGATCAATAAAGATTTGAAAGAAATGTTAATTATTTGTTATACCCAAAAATAATGTAACACCTCGAAATATTGGTCCCCGACATAGGAACCTATATATGGATCATCATATCTTGCCTAGCTGAGTCGATCTATGTCCGTCGGTCCTTGTTAATTAGTAATCAATCTACGACATTGAAAATGGAGGAAGGGTAAGGGTCAGAATAGAAGCCTTTGGTTTTTGGAGGTGGTCGCAAAATATTTTATGACCAATAAACATACGAAAATGTCCACTAATCCTCCACCATTCATAGTATTGAGGGTATATTAAGTTCATTCCGCTTGTAATTCATCGAAACAATTTTAGACCCATCAGCGTAAAATTTTAAGACAATTTTGCCCTGTCTGTCCGTCTGTTGTAATTATTTATTGAGGAGAAAGTGTTCACTTCTCCTTCAATTTGGACTTTTTTTGCGCATATTTTTAGCGGAACCAATAGAGCTTTAACATAGATTTTTTACAATATTTTTTGAAGAACTGACAGAGTTTTGAACGTCAAATTTTCAAGAATATTTTTTGAGGAGCCATCATTAAAACCATTGAAGCCTTTAAAGTGAATTTTTAAATAATATTTTTTTAACAACGCCAAAGCATTGAAATTTATACGATTTCTTACAAAAAAAAATCATATTTTTTACGACATTCATGGCCAAAAATTCACAGAATAAAATAGAATCATGGACTTGTTAGAGATATTTTAAACTTTCTTGGTCAAAAACAGTAGAATATTTCTTTGTTAAAATTTGTCGCTTTTGTAGAAAAAATGAAGGACTAAAAGGACAAAAGTTCAGGGGCTTTCAAATATGAAATCCCTGATTTATTTTTCAGAGTCTTAGTGGCAAAAAACTTTGATTTTGATATAGTTGACCTAAATATCGCGGAATTTTAACGAGATAATTTTGACCACTTAAAGTCGTTGCATAATTACTTCTATATCGACTTTTAGTAGCCACTAAATGACTACACATTGTGGGTGAGTTATGCCCTTGTTAAAACCATAGGTTGGTAACATAACTGTAATGGATACTTTTGCTGGGAACATAGGCCGAAGATTTGCATGTAACTATCGTTAAACTAACATTTTAAATAATATTTTTAAGAAGCCTTCGGAGCTAAAAAAAAGTAAAATTTTAAAGATTTTATTTTGTATAACTATAGAACCTTTGGACGTTGCTATTTACACATTTTTATACCCTACAACACTATGTGTTGGGGGTTTGATTGGGCCAAAAATTATTTAACACCTCGAAATATTGGTTTCCCACATAGGAAAGTATATATGGATCTTCCTATATCGCCGAGCTGAGTCGATCTAGCAATGTATGTTCGTCCGTCCGTCTTTCCGTCTGTCCTTGTTAATTTGTATTTAAGCTACAGGTCGCATTTATGGCCCGATCTTCACGACATTGAAAATGAAGGTAGGGTTAGGGTCAGAATAGAAGCTTTTTGTTCTTGGAGGTGGTCGCAAAATATTTAGGGATTAAGATGGACCAAAAAGAGAAAAATTTCCTGATTGGAGTTAGAGTTCAGGGGTGGGCAGAAGCCTATCAATTTGTACCGTCATCTGACAATATGTAGAGGGTAAAATAAAACATAACTTTTATGTCAAAACATACGAAAATTTCAACTAAAGCGCGAATATTTTTAACCCGGCCATATCGCAAATACATTTAAATGTCACTTCTGACCATGATATTTATAGCCAAGATATCGGATATTTAGCAAAATATGTACAATATATATGTAAAAGAACTATATCTTTTGTTATTCTGCTTATAAGTCAAGAACCGCTGGACTGATTTTCACAATTCTCGTCAATTCGAAATGGTATCTTGCCAGAAAAGGATAAAATCTAAGAAAATCGCTTAAAAATATAATAATAAACAAGTAAACAAGCTGTAAGTTCGTCCGGACCATTTGGAACGAATTTGGCAATTTTCAAAAAAAAAAAAAAAAAAAAAAACAGTAAAGAAAGTCTTAAAGTCGGGCGGGGCCGACTTTATGATGCCCTACACCACTTTGCTGTATGATATCTGTATTTGTATCTTTTAAATTCGGACTTGTATTGCCCATTTGGTGCACAATTAATTTGAAATCGGATAGAAATATATATGGGAGCTATATCCAAATCGGAACTGATCTCGATAAAATTTGGCAAAGATATTTTTGAGCTGTATTTGATATATTTCCCTGAATATCGTTGTTACGGAGTGCATATTACGGCTGTGGGTAACAAATATGACAAATCGGATGAACAGTATATATGGGAGTTATAGCTATATCTGAACCGATCTTCACCAAATTTGACATACTAGCTTCTAGACTCAATTCGGTCGTAAGTGCCAAATTCCATCCCATTTGGACAAATATTAGACGTTTGGTGCACAATAAAAGATAAATCGGACGAAGTTATATATGGGAGCTATATCCAAATCTGAACCGATCTCGATAAAATTTAGCAAAGGTATTTCTGAGCTGCATTTGATATATTTCCCCAGATATTGTTGTTACAGAGTGCATATTACGGCTGCGGAGGACAAAAATAACAAATCGGATGAACAATATATATGGGAGCTATAGCTATATCTGAACCGATTTCGATAAAATTTGACATACTTATTTTCAGGCCTAATTTGGTTGTATGTGCAAAATTCCATACTATTTGGACTGATATTACACGTTTGGTGCACAATGAAAGGCAAATCGGACGAAGATATATATGGGAGCAATATCTAAATTTTGACCGATTATCTTCAATTTCAATAGGGTTCGTCCTTGGGCCAAACAAATGATTTGTCCAAAATTTCATCTGGATAAGGCAATAAATGCGAACTGTACTTTGTTTACAAAAATACATGGACGGACGGACAGACGGACGGACATGCATAAATCGACTCAGAATGTGATTCTATGTAGATCATCAAAAGGAACTATGGGTCTATCTCGTTTCCTTTTGCCTGTTACAAACAAATGCACAAAGACATAATAACCTGACCACCTTGTGGTGTAGGGTATAAAAAGAATAAATACATAAAATAAAATACAATCTGTTAAAAATTCTGTTAAAATCTTAAAAATACCGAATGTAGCCGTTATATTAGGGTATATACGAAGACTAGGACCTGCATAGGAAACTTTTGTCATAAGCCATTAAAATATTCATATGCGAAACTTGCAAAAAAATTCGGTGAATAATGTGGCTAAAATCATCAAAATACCGAATATCGGGAGGTACCGTTATATAGGGGCTAAACGAAGACGTAGACCTGCACGGACATTTTTTTGTCTTAGGCTGTAGTATCCATTACGAACTTCAAATACCAAATGTGAAACAATTCCAGTGAATAATGTGGCAACAATCATCAAAATACCGAATATCGGGAGGTGCCGTTATGTGGGCTATACGAAGACGTGGACATGCACAGACAATTTTCTGTCTTAGGCTGTAGTATCCATTACGAACTTCAAATACGAAATGTGAAACAATTCCAGTGAATTATGTCACTAAAATCATTAAAATACCGAATATCGGGGGGTAGCGTTATGTGGGGGCTATACGAAGACGAGGGCCTGCACAGACAATTTTCTGTCATAGGCTGTAGTATCTATTGCGAACTTTAAATACCAGATGTGAAATAATTCCGGTGAATAATGTCGCTAAAATCATCGAAATATCGAACATTGGGAGGTACTATATATACGTCTTCGTATAGCCCTCATATAACGGGCTATAGCACAGACAATTTTCTGTCTTAGGCTGTAGTATCCATTACAAACTTCAAATACCAACTTAGAAATAATTCTGGTGAAAAATGTCCCTAAAATCATCAAAATACCGAATATCGGAAGGTAGTGTTATATGGGGGCTACACGAAAACGTGGGCCTGCACAGACAATTTTTAGTCATAGGCTGTAGTAACCATTACGAACTTCAAATACCATATTTGAACCATTTCTGGTGAATAATTTCGCAAAAATCATCAAAATACCGAATATCAGGCGGTACCATTATATGGGGCTATACCCAAACGTGGACCTACATGGTCAATTTTTAATATCAGAATTCCTGCGCACATAATATACATTTGAGTAAAATTTTATCAACCTTCTTCATTTCCATCGGAAGCTGGAGTGATTTCCACAGACGGACGGACATCGTAGAATCGACATAGAATTTTATGCTGATCAAGAATATATATAAGGGGTCTAAAATGTATATTTCGGGGAATGACACTGTCACTATCGGTTTTACCAATTTTTCCCTGAACGTTATTATTGGAACAAAGTTATTGTTGTTTGTTCGGTGAATTTCTTCAAAAGCAATTTTGAGTTTTCTTTCTAAACTGAAGTATAATTTTAGGCGCTCTTAATTAATTTAACTAGAGCTTACAAATAAACAATGAAAGTTTGTATCCGTAACAAAAAAAGCTTTGCTTGGGTACAATCAGCTGCTACAATAACAAATTGTATGTAAAAATACAACAAAAACAAACGTCAGTCAACAACTTGGCCCAGTGCCAGCAGTGGTTTTTATTTTTGTTTGTTCTCCGTTTTTGGTATGTGTCTCCGCGATAAATATTCGTAAACTCTTGGAAATATTCATAATACCGTTGTAGATGAATGGATATAAAAGTTAACTGATATATTTGTTAATTTATGAATATAATGAAGGTAAGTATGGAAAATGTATTGTTTACAAATGTTCTTCAAAGCAAAGTGTATACAGTGGATACGTCACCACGATGAGAGCATAAAACGCAATTCATTTTATCTTTTATGAGAATAAGAGTGAACTGTCTTCAGCGTTGCCATATTTGTTATTTATTGAAAATACCCAGAAATAATTCGATAAACCCCAAAAAAATTCAATAATTTCAAATAACATAATATATGATCATGCACTGAACAAAATTTAAATGTAGAAGATTTGGCTTATCTTGAGGTTTGAGGCTACCCATGAAGCATTTGGAAGATTGTTTTTAAAGAAATCACTTTGCTGAGTCATCGTTGATGAGAGCATAAAACGCAATTCATTTTATCTTTTATGAGAATAAGAGTGAACTGCGTTCAGAGTTGCCATATTTGTTATTTATTAAAAATACCCAGAAACAGTTCGATAAACCCCAAAAAAACTCAATAATTTCAAATAACATAATATATGATCATGCACTGAACAAAATTTTAATGTAGAAGATTTGGCTTATCTTGAGGTTTGAGGCTACCCATGAAGCATTTCGAAGATTGTTTTTAAAGAAATCACTTTATGATTGGAATTGACACCCCCTTCTAAATCAATCAATCAGGTCAATTTAATATATAATAACAAAATGTATGGGAATCATAAATTAATCATTGAGGTCTGTAAAATTTGACTATTTCCTTGTTATTTATTATTGTATTGTGTCTTAGTCTTCAAAAGATTTTGTTGTTTTTCTGGAGTGGCTATCAAAAAGTTGACTTTTTAAAAAGTGTTTTAAAGTGTTAAAAAGTGTAAATATTAATACAAATATTTCTGATAACCTAATTCCAGAGAGAGTTTATTGCCTTAGAACTGTAGTTCGAAAGGTTTTTTTTTTTTAGAAAATTTTGTCTGTCAGTACAGCTCGAAAAGTGATATTAGTGCCGATAGTAAAAAGTAAGATTATTTTTCTAACACGAATGTAAAAAATTAGTAAAATGGTATTTTCTTTTAGTCAATTCGTCATACTCTACCTTTTTAATCGCGCTGTAGGATAAAAAAAAGGCTCGAAAGTGATTCTACATTTCAAAAAATGCTGACTGGGGTAAGTCGATTTTCGATTAACCGATTGATCGAATTCTAGTACTAAAACCTCTAAAAGTCCTTTTCTATTATGGATTGTGGTGAATAATAATCGAATTGAATACCTGATTGAACCGAATAATCAACACTTTTAATGAAATTGGATACATAATATTTCTTCCTTTTCAATAACAATAAGAATTATGGGAGATTTTGACTTAGATACGTATAAAATGTTTAGTCAACAAGTAAAAAAGCTGTAAGTTCGGCCCTGAATATCCTCCACCATTGAAACGAATTTGACAATTTTCAAAAAAAAAAAAAAAAAATAAAAAATAAAAAAAAAAAGTAAATAAAATCCGTTAAAAATGCTGTTAAAATCTTAAAAATACCGTATGTAGCCGTTATAATGTCGCTTAAATCATTAAAATGCCGAATATCGGGAGGTACCGTTATATGGGGGCTATACGAAGACGTGGACATACATGGACAATTTTCTGTCTTAGGCTGTAGTATACATTACGAACATCAAATACCAAAATTTGAAACAATTCCGGAGAATAATGTCGCTAAAATCATGAAAGGACCGAATATGGGGAGGTATCATTATATGGGGGCTATATGAAGACGTGCACCGATAATTATCTGTCTTAGTCTGTAGTATACATTACGAACTACAAATACCAAATTTGAAACAATTCCGGTGAATGATGCCGCTAAAATCATGTAAGTACCGTATATAGGGACGTAGCCTAATAAGGGGGCTATACGAAGACGTGGAACTGCACGGAATATTTTCTGTCACATGCTGTAATATCCATTTGAAACTTCAAATACTAAATTTGAGACATTTCCAGTGAATAATGTCTCATAAATCACCAAAAATACCGAATGTAGGGAGGTACCATCATGGCTATACCAAAACGTAGACCTATATGGCCCATTTTCAATACCAAAAGTCCTACAGACAAAAATACATTTGAGTAAAATTGTATCAACCTACTTCATTTCGTTCGGAAGCTAGAATGCTTTTCATAGACGAACAGACGGACGGACATCGCTAAATCGACATAGAATTTTATGCTGATAAGAATATACAGGGTGAGATAAAAAAAAAACTGCAACAAAGTCAAATGCCACAATTTTTACATTTTTTAAATGTTATGGGATGAAAGCAAAAAATGTCGGATATAGCATCAAATTTTGGAATAAATTTAGAATTGTTCGAATTGGTCACCTTTGGCACGAATTATGGCCTTCAAATGGTCAATGAAAGCGTCACAAGCTGTCCGAATGTTGCTCTGCGGTATTTTGGCTCATTCCCGGCGAAGCGCTTGCTAGAGGTGATCGACACTTTCGTATTTTTTAGTGTCAACCTTGCTTTCCAAAATACTCCACACACAATAGTCCAACGGATTGGTATCCGGAGATTTTGTTGGCCATTGTGCGCTGAGGCGAGAAACCTCATTTTGTAACCATTATCGGGTGAGCGTGCTGAGTGCGATGGTGCTGAGTCCTGTTGGAATGTCCAAGGTCTGCGGCCAAAATGTTTGCTTGCCCAAGCCATTAATACACCCTCCAGAATATTTTCGCGATAATATTCGGCATTTATTATGATGCCACGGTCGCCACGGTAATACGAGCGGTGAGCGACCATCGGCTGTTATGGCGGCCCACACCATCACCCTGGCCGGCGCTTGAGTTCTGGTGGCCAATAGAAGGTGCACATTTTCAGCTGATCTCTTTGGCAAGTAAACACGATCATTTTGTTTGTTTACAAACTGCTGTACAATGAATCTTTTCTCATCGGAGAAAACCAAATTCCGCAGTTCACCATTTTTGGCCAAGCGAAGCAACTCTTTAGCTCTTTTGAGTCTCTTTTCTTTCTCTTGCGGTGTAAGTTCTTGCACTTCATGGAATTTCAATGGCTTTAACCCGAGCTCATTTTTCAATATTTGCCGATATGTTCAGCTCTCGAGCCATTTTTCAGCCACTGCGAAGCGGGATTCGATAAAGTCGCTTCTTTACTTTACGAACCATTTATGTTGATGTTGCTGTTTTTTCCGTCCACTTCCTTGATGTCGAGCTACGCTACCAGTATCACGGTAACGAGCGATGGTACGAGACACAAAAGATTTATTCACATTTAAATGATGGAGTGCTCTAACGATAGCCACTTGTGGTTGGTGGTTTTCCAGCCAAATAAAAAGAAATCAAACTATCACGCTTGAATTCCATCACGAATAACTTTTTTTCCGGAAAATTCTCACCAAAATGTTTTTGTACGCTTATAAACCATATAATGAGCTGTCACTGGAATAATTTTATCAGCTGTAGGGCGAGTGGCTTAGAAATAACAGCAGTCTGCAGTTTGGTTGCAGTTTTTCATCTCAACCTGCACTTTGTTGGGTCTGAAATGTATATTTCCAGGTGTTTCATGGTGGATGACATAAAAATACCATGGCGTTATTTTAAGATCTTTGCTTAGTTGCTTTATTTCGAATTCGGTGTTGGACTGTTTACCTTGCGTAACATAAACTTCCTAAATGTGCTGCCTCGGATTAGAATCCTTTAAAATCAACATTTTTATCGTGAACAGTGAACATTTATTTTATATATATGTAAAATAGGGTATGTATATTATTTATATGGACAAATAATGACGATGAGTATAAAAATGTGTGAACAAAATACTTGTGTTTAATGAAAATTGCTTATGAAATAGGTATTCTAATTATCAACACCCTTTTCCCTGAATATGAATGTGAAAGCGATGCCAAAAAGTTGCGATTCTACAAAAATATTGGAAATTGCCTATGTAAGTTTTTCTTCTTCAAATTGACTCAAAATCGGCTCAAGGCAAACTGAATCATTCGTTATGAACTATTGGCCCATTGAATCGACTATAATGTAAAACCAGTAAAGAAAGTCTTCAAGTCGGGCGGGGCCGACTTTATGATACCCTACAGCACTTTGCTAATTAAGTAGAGCTCCACATAACAATTAAAAATTTTTATGGGAGAATTCAATCATACACGCTATGATTATAATTATAATTTAAAGATCAAAGGACTAAATATGCCGAAGCATTTGTATCTTTAAAATTCGGACTTGTATTGCCCATTTGGTGCGAAATTAATTTAAAATCGGATAAAAATATATATGGGAACTATATCCAAATCTGAACGGATCTTGATAAAATTTGGCAAATGTATTTCTGAGCTGTATTTCATATATTTCCCTGAATATCGTTGTTACGGAGTGCATATTACGGTTGTGGGTAACAAATACAAAAAATCGGATGAATAATATATATGGAAGCTATAGCTATATCTGAACCGATCTTCATCAAATTTGACATACTAGCTTCTAGACTCAATTCGGTCGTAAGTGCCAAAATCCATCCCATTTGGACAAATATTAGACGTTTGGTGCACAATAAAATGTAAATCGGACGAAGTTATATATGGGAGCTATATCCAAATCTGAACAAATCTCGATAAAATATAGCAAATGTATTTCTGAGCTGTATTTGATATATTTCCCCAAATATAGTTGTTGCATAGTGCATATTACGGCGGCGGTGGACAAAAATAACAAATCGGATGAACAATATATATATGAGAGCTATAGCTATATCTGAACCGATTTCGATCAAACTTGGCATACATATTTTCAGGCCTAATTTTTGGTTGTATGTGCAAAATTCCATACTATTCGGGCTGATATTACACGTTTGGTGCACAATGAAATTCAAATCGGACGAAGATATATATGGGAGCTATATCTAAATTTTGACCGATTATCTCCAATTTCAATAGGGTTCGTCCTTGGGGCAAACAAAAGATCTTTGCAAAATTTCATCTGGATCGGGCAATAAATGCGACCTGTACTTTGTTTACAAAAATAC